GGGGGGGGGGGGGGGGGGGGGGGGGGGGGGGGGCGCGGGGGGGCGGAGTCCCCTGACCATTTGGGGATGGTGGCAGGGCCAAAGAGGGTGGTGTCTAACTGCTCCTTCTACAGACTACAGGCCTCCCATTTTCCAAAAGTCCCTGATCCCATCACCGCAAGCCTGGAAGGTTCTCAGTTGAGAATCAGCTTTCTTCTTGTTGACATGCCCCCGCCTCGCCCCCTCTATAGGCTCCTGGTTTCTGTTTTTACTCAGTCAGTTACTAGTCATCCATCTGCTTTCCTTCGTTCAGAGATTGACTGACACTTCTATTTCACAGTTACTTCCTGTCTCGTTCTCTTTCCTTATGGGCTTTTCCCTTTTCATTCCATAATTGTGAAATTTGGGGAGGTAACAGAGACATGCATTTGTGTTCAATGAACCATATTTATTTAACTGGAAGTCCAGAGGTCCATCTCCTTCTTTAAAGCAGAGTACAGTTTAATTTTTATAAATTGACCTGTGGTTAATGAATGGAGGATTATAGGCTTCCGCCCAAAATAAATTTAAAAATCTAGAATCAAGAAATAATTACTGAGATCAAAACCATTATAAACATACCTAAGTAAAAATACAGTTTACTCATTATTATGTATCGCATGGCCCAATTTTTTGAGGAAAAAAGTCTAGAAGCATATAGACCAAAAATGTTAAGGGTTATCACTATATTCCGGAATTATGAGTGATGTCTATAGCTATATCACTTTTCTCACCTCTGGGATTTAGAAGTCCAAAAAGAAAATTGCACAAGAAGAAACCAATTTTATGATGTGATTTAGATTATCTGATAAAGTTAAAGTGCTTCTTGAGGAAGCAGTAAATACACTAATAATGAAAATTGTCACTTTGGAAAACAATTTAGCATCATCTACAACCTTGCAATATACCACTTTTACTTATATATTCTCAGGGCCCCTTTACACTCTTAAAAATTATTGAAGACCCCAAAGAGATTAGTTTATGTGAGTTATAGCTTTTGAAATTTACCATATTAAATTAATTTTTTATTTTACCATTTATTAATTTACCATATTAAATTAAAATTACCATATTAAATTAAAACCAAGGAATTTAAAATGTAATTATTACTTTAAAAATAATAAACACATTAAATATTAACATAAACAACATATTTTATGAAAAACAACTATTGTCTGAAAAAATTAGTGAGAAGAGTGTCATTGCTTTATATTTCTGTAAATCTTTTAAGCGTCTGGCTTCATAGAAGACAGCTGTGTTTTCATATCAGTTATTCCACTGACTCTGCTGCAGTGTGTTTTGTGGTTGAAGTGTATGTAATTGGAAAAGGAGCATTTCAATCGCCTGCTCAGATAATTGTGGATGGTCTTCTTTGATACTATGCCAGAACTCTACAAATGGTAGTTTCTTAAAGATTGTTGCAACATGGAATCTGAAACCATAACAATGAACTTTTTTCTCTTGTAGCTTTACTGAGATGTAACTGACATATAACATTGTGTAAGTTTAAGGTGTTCCAGGTGTTGATTTGATACTTACATATTGCAAAATGATAACCACCATAACGTTTGTTAACATTTTCATCATGTCGCATAATTACCATTTCTTTTTAGTGGTGAGAATATTTAACATCTATTCTCTTAGCAACTTTCACGTATATGCTACACCAATGAACTATTCAGGCTCTGTTACAGTAAAACTCACTATCTTGCATTTTGACTGGATCTTATCTATGCGTGATTTTGTCAAGCCAAGCATTAGTCATTTGAAAATTATTGGTTCACTGAGTTATGCAAATCTTTTAAATGTTGCCACATTTCATTATACAACATCAAAATCACATTCATTAAAGTCACCGCAAATCTCATCAGAAAAGTCTTTCTTTATTGGGAAGCTATCAAGCTCACAGTGGCAGATAAAAGTTTTCCAAATTTCTAATTTTCATTAAAAATATTGAATTTTCAGCAACCAAAACTGTCAGTTGTTTTCTTTGCAGTGACAGATGCACTTGGTTCCTTTTGGAGAAAACGTCTGCCAGATGCCCAAGGCTGAATAATCGAGGTTTTTCTACCAGATGTACTTCTAGGTAAGAATGGTGTTCATGAGTAGAGGAGCTGGTTCAACTCACAATTCAATCACTTAACCCTTTTCCTAGGGAGTCCTCACACCTTGATATGCAGCAGAACTGCTGACCTCCCATTTTTAATATTTAAATACGGAATATTTAAAAGATATGTGTTCAGTGGTTGAAGTTTAATAAAATTAGTAACTTTTACTGCAGTTTGGTGCCACTCCCTTGATTTGTACTAAGGTGCTGGCAGTTTTACCCATCATTGCTTTCGCAGTGTCATTGAAAATGTCACCACAGTGAAAAAGGCAAATAACAGCTTAGTATTACTATAAACGTAATAATACTGGGGGACTTCCTGAAAGGGTCTCAGGGTCTCCCAGAGTTCACGGACCGCACATTGAGAACTGCTGCCTTGAGAAACTCTTGCACGTGTGAACCAGGAAACATATATCAAGGATGTTTGCAGCAGCACTGTTTGTAACAGCAAAAGTCCAGAAACAACATATTTTCATCAGCAAGGGAATGGACGAACTGTTGGTATATTTATACAACGGTCTACCGCACAGTGGTGAGTGGACGTACTAGAGCTCTGTGCATCAATCTGGGTGAATTTCAGTGTCTTCATTTGTACTCCACCAAAAGCAGAGTGGGAGACAGACCTTTGGTGAGAGCGTTTATTTAGAAGGTGATCTCAGAAATGGTGAGTGAGAAGACAAGGAAGGAAGAACAACAGAACGTGCATTATTGAGCTGTGATGACTGCGGGCCACTGTGCTCCTTCTCGCTGGGAACTCTCTGAGGAATGGTGTAGAACACAGCTCAGAAGGGTCCCTCTAAAGGTGTGAGGTTGGTGCATTTCCCACTGACTCCCATCAGCGCCCCATTTGATCCCCTGGGACACTAACTTCTCTGAACCCCTGGGCTGCACACAGGCTGAACAGCCTTTCCAGGCTTTGGAGAGAGCCGGAGAGAGAGAAGCAAAGAGATGCTGTGGCCTTTGAGGTGGCGTGCTGGTAGCTTGCCTGCAAGTCTCAGCTATCCGAAATCAGGTCGGCTGAGGGGATGTGGCGTGGGCCACCACAGGTATCTGCTAGACTGAGAAAGTACTGTTGAGTGAAAAAAGGAAATCATGGAGAATTCTGTACAATGTGCTCCATGCTTATAAAGGTCAAAAATGCACAAAAGCATATAATGCATTGTTAGGAATGCAATGTGGATATTATGAATATACAATTATGGATATTTTGCAAGCATGATGGGCAGGAAAGGGGTTATCACATGTTGGGAGACAGTAAGCAAGTTTGCTTGTCAGAAAGCGCATGTCTGGGTGCAGCTGGAGATAAAGGTGGTGAGTTAAAGAAGGTAGCTAATTGGTGAGTGTCTTTGAAACCAACCTTCAAATTTACTTTGATTTGGAAAGTAAGGGGAGCAAACTTTTCAGAAAGGGTGTGATAGGATCAAAATGTATCAAAGGGAATCACTATGCAGTTAGCTTGGGAGGGAAAAGGAGCTAAGGGACGAAGGTCCCTCACACCCGGTGGCACTCGGAGGTTCCCTCACTTGTAGGGAGCTTCCTCTTTGCCCTGGTCCTTTATCAGGGGCAGGCAGGCAGGGCGTGGCTTGTTGGTGTATAGAGACAGCTAGCAGGGAGTCTGTGGAGGCAGAGGGAGCCCCTGCTGAGGACTGAGGGCTTGAGAATGAAAGATGACCTTTTCCCAGGTCCACCTTCGGAGCCCTTCCTGGTGCTACTGCCTGATGCCCGATCTCCCCGAGTGGACGGAGGGAGCGTTCCCCACTTGGAGACTCCAGCTCTGCCAGTGAGGGACAAAGGGCCTCTGATTCCAAAGGCGGTGAGTCCTCTCCCCTCTCATTCTTTTTAGTCCTTGACTTTCTCAGGATCCTCAGGTTCGATGGAGAAACTTTCTCCTTACCCAAAAGGACAATTTCAAGGATGAAGTGGGGCAATGGTTAACTGTCACTTGAGGAGCACAGAGGGGGACAAGTGACCAGGGGGCTGGATGGGTTTTGTCTAAAGACTCTTATTTATTTATTATTGTCATTGTTATTAATTAGTACGGCTAACATTTATTTGGCCCTTACTATTAGCCAGGTCCTGTGCCGCGTGTTCTCAGACTGGCCATCTGTAGATTTGCAGGGTCTTCTTAAGCTGCGTGGAGTTATCAAGGGAAGTTCTCTTGCAATGTTTTTTCTGATTTACAAGTTTTTGAAATTAAACTGTTTCAAACTGAAAATATAAATGACTGCCTGGGGGAAAATATTTCCAACATGTGTAGTAGAAAAAAATTGTTAGTATATGAAGAATTTTTTTTGAAGTAACATTGGTTTATAACATTATATAAATTTCAGATGTACATCATTGTATTTTGATTTCTATATAGTAGTCATATCCACCACCCAAAGACTAATTACCCTCTGTCACTGTAAACATGTGCCCTTTTACTCCTTTCACCCTCCCCCACCTTCCCCTTTGGTAACTACCAACCTAATCTCTGTACCTATGTGTTCGTGGTTGTAGTTTAGTATAGGAAGAATTTTGCAAACATTAAGAAAGAGACAAATGCCCAAATAGAAAAATGGACTAAGTATATAGATGGGTAATTGATGAAATCCAAATAACAAATGAGTAATCAAAGAAATACAAATAAAAATGAAACACCATTAATTCTTTATAAAGAGATGCCATTTTGTTGCTCATTAAACTGACAAAGATTTAAAAAAAGATAAAACCAAGTCATGGCAAAGTTGTGGGGAAATAAGCAATTTCATACATTTTTGGTGAATTGATATGACCCTTCTGGAGGACAATTCAGCAGTGTGAATTAAAAGTCTCTCCATTTTAAACATGGGAAACTCAAGGCGTAAGAGTTTAAGTGACTTGCTTCAAGTTACAAAATCAAGCCAACAGTAGGACTAAGCCTTCTAACTCCAGCCCTCAATCCACTATCAACTGCAGCAATGCTGATAATGGCAATGAGTTGGAAAGCAACCTAAATATCCTACAATATTGGATTATTTAAAAAATTCTTGTGTATCCATGATGGAACAATGACGTCACTAAAAGAATGTTTGATGGCATGGAAAGTGAACATAATGTGGCGCTTGGGGAAAAAATCAGGTATCAAAACAGTATAAAGAGTGTGGTCCTATGTTTTGAAAAAGTTATGTACATGCACAAAAAAAATATTTGAAGAAACATATTATCTCTGGGCGGAGGAATTACAGAAGATTTTAAAATTTTTGCCCTTTTTTCCTTGCAATTTCCAAATTTTCTATAATAAGTGGGATAGAAAAAGCAATACATTTTATTTGATAAAAACTGTAAAATGGCTGAAATGCCGTGGGGCTACTGTGGAGGTCAGCTGGAGCTGGCTGAGTTGTGGGTGCTTCAGGGCAGGGAGGACCCATCCCAGAGGGCAATGTGAGGGGCCCACAGAGTCTGAGGGAGTTTGAGGCCACAGAGCAGGGGAGAGGTGAGAAGAGAGGGTTTTTAGTTCTTTAAGTAGGATGGATACAAAGAAAAAATTAAAATTCTAGGCAGAGCAATGAAAAACATACATATTTACATACACCAATGTATTTGGGGACCTGACGTACCACAGGTGACTTACAGCAAAGCTGGCACCTAGAAAATGATGAGGGAGACTCTCACTCACCATCTGTTCACACTTTTACTTTTTCAGTCTTCTTCTCTGTTTCTCCTCTCCTGTTCTTTGATTTCTTCTCCCCATCCGACTTGGAAACTTCCATTGAATACCATGGATTTCCTTCACCGTTGCTCTGCTTTCGAGGCCCTCAAAATTAGAATCTGACTAATCCTTCTCTTAACTCAACACTTTTTTAAATCTTGGGCATCGAGTTTCCAAATTAAGTTATTTCTAGCAGAGAACTGAAAGTTAAACATTCTTGAAATATAATTTTTTCTTTTCATGAACCAGAAATGTAGCATATTGGAGCTTGAAAGGAATCTAAAGTTCCTTCTAATCAAAATTCCTTAATTAAATTAATTAATTTTTTGCTCAATTTAGTTTTGTGGTAAGTTTTGTTGTCACTATATTGCACTTTATCAATAGTGGGGAAATAGAGATGAGAAAAATTGCCCATATTTCCACCACCTTAATTATTAACAAGTACTATTCATATTTTATGGGACTTCCTTTTAGCTCCTTTCTTTCACACTCTTTAGTGTAGTTATAATCACTGTAAATATATTATTTTGTATTTTGCTTTCAACACATCATTACTAGTTTTCATTTGAAATACAGACTTGATGAGCCCTAATTTGCTTAGTCATTTCTTTACTGATGGACCAGCAGATACTCCAGTTTTTCACTATTATAAAAATACGACTGAGATAATGTGACCTGTCATATTTCAGATTCTTTCCTTAGAGTATATTTCCAGAATATTTTTTACTGGATCAAAAGGCAAATACATTTTCTTACTTCTTGTTACTTCCCAGTTTACAATGAACTCAGCAAATGTAAATGAATCTCCTGTTTTAAAGATGGGAAAATCAGGGTCTAAGAATTTAAGTGCTTTGCTCAAAGTTAGAAAGTCATACAGTTAGTTAGGGACCAAGCCAAGTCTAAAACCAAGCCCTCTGACTCCAGCCCTCAGTCCGCCAGGGATACCAGGCTTTCTTTTACCTTTGGTTTTATTTAGCCTTAGATTCTTGGGAATTCTCCCATTAACTTACTCTTTTCTCTTTTCAGATGAGATTATGACTGAAATTCACACCCTTACCAAAAAAGCTAAGATATATCACACTAGTCACACTCTATGCAACAATAGCAGAATACACTTGTTTTTTCAAGACACACGAAACATTACCCAAAATTGACCATATGCTAGCACATAAAACAAGTCAATAAGTTTAAAAGGATTGCCGTCATACAGAGTATGTTTTCTGACCACAATGGAATTAAATTAGAAATCAATAACAGGAGGTCATCTTGAAAATTCCCAAATATCTGGAAACTAGATAACACACTTCTAAATAACCCACAGGTCAAAGAAGAACTCAAAAGGGAAATTAGAAAGTATTTTGAATGTAGTGAAAATGCAAACTGCTACCTATCAAAATTTGTGAGAAGCCACTAAAACAATACCAAGGGAGAAATTTATTGTACTAAATGACTATGTTAGAAAAGAAGATCTCAAATCAATGACCTAAGCAACGAGAAAAAGAACAAATTTAAACCCAAGGGAAGCAGAAGAAAGGGAGTAATAAAGATCTGAGCAGAAACCAATACAATAGAAAACAGAAAAACATTAGAGAAAAATCAATGAAACCGAAAACTGGTTCTTGAGAAAAGCAATAAAATTGATAAACCTCTGGCCAGAATGATCAAAGAAAAAGAGACACAAATTACAGATATCAGGAGTAAGAGAGGTGACATCACTACAGATTCCAACTAATTAAGCAAATTCCTTGAAAGACCCTAACTACCAAAGCTCACTCAAGAAGAAACAGGCAACCTGAATTACTCTGTATTTATTAAAGAGACTGAATATGTAGCTACAAGCCTTCTCATAAAGAAAACTCTAGGCCCAGATGGCTGCACTGGTGAGTTCCATCAAACATTTGAGGAGGAAATAGTACCAGCGCTGCATAAACTCTTCCAGAAGGTTGAAGAGGACAGAATCCTGCTCATCTCCTTCTGGGTGAATTACCCAAATCAGAAAAAGACAGTACAAGAAAAGTACTGATCCACATCCCTCATGGACATAGAGGCAAAAATTCTTAAAATTTAAACACATTTTCTCCAAAGATATAGAAAAAGGATACTACATCATGATTGACTGGGGTTTATTCCCAGAATGCAAGGTGGGTATAACATACAAAAAAAAATTGATCAGTGTCATTTACTATATTAACAAACTAAAAATTAAAAATCATATGATCATCTCAATAGATACAGAAATATTATTTGACAAAATTTAACATCCATTCCTGATAAAAACTCTCAGAAAACTAGGAACAGAAGGGAATTTCCTTGACTTGATGAAAGGCATCTATGAAAAGCTTACGGCTAACATTACACCCAGCAGTGAAAGAAGGCAATTGAGGTGGTTTCAGGAGGCAGTCTCTGGGAGCACATCACCACGTTCCTTGGTACTCTGGTGTTTACCTGGTTCATTGTGGGTCTCATTCGTTCAGATTCCTCCCTACGCCTCCTAAGCAACTCTCAGCATCTCACCTTCCCATCCTGAGTTATCCTGACTCAGGCTTTTATAGACTTGACCATGATGCCAGCCTCCGTGTTGAGCTTTTAGCTCCTTCAGTCTTCACAATAAGCCTGCAAGGAGGCACAGTTGTTATACTCATTTTGAAGACAGAGAAACAGAGTCTCAGAGAAGTTGTCGCAAGGACACACAGAGGACACACAAAGATACACAAGGATACACAGAGGTAGGTAGCAGAGCTGGGATTCGAACCCTGTTCTGTGTGATTCCAGAGCACAGGCTGTACAGCCTCCATCTTCATCTCACCTCTGAGGCTGTACGCTTTCTCACAATCACCAACCTTTTCTTGTGTCTCCCTGTGTCTGTCCTTCTAGGTTGGATGGCGATGGCAAGTTCCTCTGGCTCCCGGCTCTCCAGCTGCCTCATCACGCTCATCTTCCTCCAGCTGCCCCTGCGTGTGTCAGGTAGGAATTTCTGAACCTCCTTCCCTGCCTGCCACATCTGATGATGGAGTCCCAAGAATAAAGAGGTCTGATCAGAGGCCTTATTTCTTCTTGGGTTCTATCTTCCCCCAGTCGTTTCCAATGCCCTTCTCGGGCGCTGTCCTTCCCCAAGACGCCCCCTCCGTCAAGCCTTGCCAAGCACTTGCTCTCCTGTCCCTCCTAGACACGTTGTCCCTTTTTTGTCCTCACCGCACAGGGGACGCCAGCAATGTCCACTCAGCCCCGCTAGGGGGCACAGCCGAGCTGCCCTGCCCCGTCTCCCTCTGGGGAGTCACGGCGCTCCCTGCCGTGACGTGGCTGCGGTCCTCGCCCTCGGGGAGCTCCCAGGCTGTTCACGTGTTCCGGGATGGGCAGGACCGGGAGGAAGAAGTGATGCCGCAATATAAGGGGAGAACGAAGCTGGTGAGAGACGCCCAAGAGGGAAGTGTCACTCTGGAGATCCGCGACGTTCAGTTGGAGGACCGAGGGCTCTACAGATGTCAAATCCAGGTCGGAAATCTGAGTCGAGAGGGCACCGTGACCTTGCAGGTTGCAGGTTAGTCATTTTTAAATGAGGACTGAAGTGCCCCCAAGATCTGAATCATGGGATGCAGTTACTGTTAGGGATGGATTTGCAAAGGCATTGAGATGAAGCCAGAGACTGTCTCATCCCCTTGGGAGAAGTATGTGGGTCAGAGAGATGGCAAGTGCCCTTAATAGCCATCCTGGCTCACCAGGGGAGGCTGTGGGAGTGAGAAGAGGGATCAGGCTGGGAGACGCCCTTGCGAGGCCCTGCCAGGCATCTCTCCCCTCCAGTTCTAGGCTCCGATCCTTACATCCACGTGAAGGGGTTTGACACTGGATGGATCCAGCTGGTGTGCAGGTCGGTGGGGTGGTTCCCAAAGCCTTGGGCCCAGTGGAGAGACCCTCAAGGCAGAGTGCTTCCATCCCTGTCGGAGGCCTATTCCCTGGATGAAGCTGGGCTCTTCGGAACAGCGGTGTCCAGCAAGGTCACCGACACCACCCTGGGGAATGTGTCCTGCACCATCCGCAACGTGGCCCTTGACCAAGAGAAGACCACAGCCATGGTCATAGCAGGTAAAATCTGGGACAGAAAACAGGCTCGAAGCCCCTGGTGGTGCCAAAGAAAACTCCTACTCTAGTGGAAATTTTATAAAGAGTTTTTGAATTTTTAAAATTCTAAGAATAACACAGGTTTATTGTAGAAAACTTGAAAAAGTACAGAACGTTTTATGTTAACATTTGGGGGAAGCCTGGATGAAAGATACGTAGAACTTCTTTGTATTGTTTTTGCAAGGTTTCTATAAGTCTGACATTATTTTAAAATAAAGTTAAAAAGAATTGCAGGACATTTTAAAGAAACCAAAATATGGGCTAGAATCTCATAAATTGGAGAGAACCACTGCTAACATTTTGGGACCTTTCTTTCCAGACTTTCTTGTATGTATGTATGTCTGAGTGTGCATGTGTTATGTGTATGTATTCTTATGCCTGGGCTTTTTTTCCCCACTTACAATATTATGAGCATTTTTTGCCTATGTCCTTAAGTAATTCTCGGCAACACGATATATAAGGGCTGCATAGTATTACATTGTGTGATTATAGCATAATAAAATTAGTCAAAGCCCTATTTCTGGACATCTGGATGGTTTCCAATTTTTCTTCATATTATAACTAAGGGCGCTGTGAACATTTTTGCATGTATTTGGGGAAGTGATTCTGATTATTTTCTTAGAATTAGATTATTTTCTTAGATTGTAGAATTGACAGGTCAAAGGAGTATGAACCTTTTAAAGACCATTGAAACATGGGACCATATGGCACAGAAGGGTGGTGTTAGAGCCAAGAAAGATAGACTGTGCCTGGGGTCCCAGGTGGGGAGGGGTCATGGACCTCTGCTCATTGCTTCCTTCTTGGTTCTCTCTGTCCCCCTCCCTTCTTCTCTTACTCCTGCCCCTGCCGCTCACTGAATGCTAAGTGCTTTACAGCTTCATCTCTTTAAATCTCCCAAGAACCCACTGGGAGAGGGAGTATTATCATCCCTGTTTTACAGATGACAAACCAGGCTTGGGTTCGTCTCTTGCCTAGGGTCCCACAGTGGTTGAGCGAGGACTCACACCCAGCTTAGGCTCTTCAAGAATTGTCACAGCACCTCTTCTGCTCTTTTTTTCTTGGCCTGCTGCTGTAGCACCGTAGAAATGGTTTTGCCGCTGCTGATAGGGCTCGGGGCAAAGGGATCATTGACTGCTCACGAGAAGAGTGTAGGTGATGGCTGAGGAAGCATCTCCGGTTCTCCAAAGTCCCTGGATAATTTTTCCATTGAATGATAGGGCAGGACAAGGCTGTGGTTGAGAAGCTGAGTTTAACCCATTGTGTTCTGGCAGGACCATTGAAGCCACTTCTGAGAGATGAACATTTCACTTTAAAGTCATCCCTGGTCCTCCAGGGTTTGAGTTACTGAGAGAAGCAAAGAGCCTCACCAGTCTTGGCTGGCGGTCTCTCCCTAGAGGTGATGGAGGCAGCTGGGAGGTGCCTGAGCCATCTGCCGTCTGAGGTGGGGCCTTTGGCGTAGGAGAAGCTTTAAGGTGTCTCCTTGAGCGTGGTCATGGGTGGTTTCTGTTTCAGCCCCGTCTCCAGGGAGCCTCTCTTCCTCAGCAGTGGCTCTTGCTGTGATCCTGCCTGTCCTGGGGCTTCTCATAGTGGTGGGCATTTGCCTCATCTGGAAGCAAAGAAGATCAAAAGGTAAGTAAGTGGTAAGGGAGCCCGGGCTGGCAGGAAGTGGGACCCCGGCTTCTTTAGCAAAAGGCCGGGAGGAAATAGATGTAGACGTGACAGTCATCCACAGGCTGGAGAGAAAACTGGGAGAGCCATTCTCTGGGGACTGACACTGCAGAGAGGATCAGGGAAACTGCAGAAGCTCCTGGGCAGAGCCGTGAAATCTGACCTTTTGAGAAAGTAAAAATAACTGATCCTGCCAGTCTTCTACTTAAGAAATCCAGTTCTAGCCATAGGATAAAACCCTCATAAATATGATCACATTTCACAAGATCTCGGGGTTGCAAAGTACCTTGAAAGTCACACAATCTGGCACTCCTTTCCCTGTCTGATGGCTTGAAGACCCTCTAATCCTTTCAAATGGTCACACACCCACAGTGACAAGGAGCAAAGTCCTGCTCAGGCAGCTTGGACCATCTCTGGATAACTGTTAGAAAAAGTCCTTCCTTAAGCTGAGCTGACATCTCTCCATTTCCCTTCCAGAGAAACTTCTCTATGAACAGGCGGTGGAGGTGGGTAAGTGTCCTGGGATGGCTGGGGATGTTTCTCTGTTTTGTTCATTTTTGTGCTTCTAGTGCCCGCTAATCTAAATTCTGTACCTGAAGATCCCAATGTCTGTTGTCCTTGGTGGTAGTGGACGGGGTTGGGGCTGGTGGTCTATACCTGTTCTTCCCAGTCTTTGCTGACTCCTACTTGTAATAGCTTGCCTTCCAATACGTTTGGTGATTTTTTCTGTGAACTCCTTGCTTGATTTTATTCTATGGGAGTCATGTAGGTCTAATGTGGGGGAAGCTTTTATTCCTTCCACAAATAATTGATAACCATCTGCTAAGTGCCCCGGACTATACTAGATGCTGGGGGCACAGTGGTGAGGAAAAGCAGGCAGTCTTTGCCTTCTTGGAGTTTCCAGTCTAGTCAGGGAGATGTACATGAACTCAATAATTACAAAAATAATGTGTACAAAGGCCATCAAAGGAAGTTCTGAAGGCCGTGAAGACTGTGACCAATAGCAATAAACTAACTTCAGGGAGGGGAGAGGAGTTCCCAGAGGAAGTGGTGTTGACCTGGAGGATGAACCGGCATGGGGGAAGAGGGGAGAGAAACCATCCACAGCAGAAAGAACAGTTTGAGAAAGAAACAGTGCAGAGTGAGGAGAAGGGTGACATGAGGCTGTGGAGTTAGGTGAGGGCCAGGCCACAGGAGGCCTTGTAGACCACAGAGAGGACTTTAGTCTTTGTCCTCAGAGCAGTGGTAAAGCAGTGAATGGGGCTATCCCGATCAGAATTGTGCTTTGAGAAGCTCTCTCTGGCAGCAGAGCTGGGAAGAAGACAGGCTGTGGGGGCAATTTGGCCCACTATTTCTGTCATCCAGGTGAGAGATGATGAAGTCTGGATCAGGGAGGTGGAGGTGGAGATAGAGGTGGAGGAGCAAGTTAAATCAACAGGAATCAGGGACCGTCAAGGTAGTGGCACAGAATTTCATTTTCTTTTACTTTCCTTCCTCTAGAAAATCTTCTCACAGGCCATGCAAAAGAAAAAGGTAATTGTATGTATAGAATAAAGGGTAGGGAACAAATAACAAATAACATTCTTTCTCCTTCTACATAAGTGCCCTCAGTCTACTACTATATGCACATTATATATACACATCAATCACACATATATATCCTCCACTAATATTATTGGAATTTACTTTCCAATGTCAAGAGGCTATAGGGTTGGTGGCAGTGGGTGAGGGGACGCCCATGGTCAAAATTCATAGATCTGGATTATCGTGAGCTCCCTTCATCAGCCTTTCCACCAGTCATCTAAAAAGAAGCTCTAGGTACTATTTAAAAATATATTAATGTGGTCACATGGAATGTGTGAAAATCTCAAGGATCCATACAACTTTCGCATGGAGAGAGGCGGTGTGATACAGTGGGAGGGTCACAGGCTCTGGGGCCAGCAACACCTGGCTCAGATCATTGGTCTGCCACTTCCTGGCCTTGGATAGGTCACCTTACTGTTCTGAGCTTTGGTTTCCTCCTCTGTAAAAATGAGGATAATAAGTCCCCTCAACTGATTGTTTTCAGGACTAAAGAGACAACTTAAAAAAATTTCCTATTACAGTGCCCGGAACTCCTTTCCCTTGTTGTCATTTCATCTTCACTAATTGAGTGTTTGGTCTGGGCCACTGAGCATAAAAGTTAGACGCCCAGGGTACAAAAAAAGCCAAGTCTAACTGGAAAGACAAGTCACTGTCTCAGAAATGGCTCCACATGCAACGGTTTGGGCATCTCCTCTCTTCCTCTCTTCCACCTCCTCCACGTAGGTGAAAGTGTGGGGATGCACACCTCAGGGACACTAGGGCCATTCTGTGCAAGAGCGGAAGGAACAGTGTGGTGTGGTGGAGAAGGCCTCCGACTAGGATTCAGACAGATTTGACCTTGAATCCTGCCTCTTTGGCCACTTACTAACTGGATGACCTGGGAAAATTTCCATGTCCCTCTGAGCTCAGACCACCACTCTGTAAAATGGGAATAACAATTATGTGTATCTCACATTGTTGAGATGATTCAGTGCCTACCTCATTATAAGAACAGGACACAACAAATGGAGGCTACTGGTAGTGGGAATAGTAAAAAATAAACCATAAGCTCCTTCGGGGCCACATCATATCCTTGCAGGACATTTGGTCCTGTCCAAAACATCCATCAGACATTTGGTCCACACCAAAAGGTCCTTGATATCTGGTCACATTTGGTCCCGTGAAAAACGTCCATGGAGACATTGGGTCCATGCCAAAGGTCCTTGATATTTGCAGGACTTTGTGGTGCTGTCCAAAACATCCATCAGACATTGGGTCCACACCAAAAAGTCCTTGATATCTGGTCATATTTAGTCCAAAACATCCATGGAGACATTGAGTCCATGCCAAAAGAACCAAAAGGTCCTTGATATTTGGTCCTGTCCAAAACAATTTGGCATGAACCAAATATACTCATGGACGTTTTGGATAGGACCAAACGTCAAGAACCTTTTGGCGTGGACCCAATGTCTTATGGGCCAAATATCTTAGGGATGTTTTAGACAGCACCAAATGTCTGCTAATCCATCATATTCAGCTTCATTGCCCCAATGCCTAGTGCCCAACATATGGGCAACCCTTAGGACAAGGCCTGGCAGTGGACTCAAATTCAATTCTCTGGCAGGGCCAGTGCTAGGGGAAAATGTGGGCCAGATGGCCCCTCCAGGAAAGTCACAAGTACTCCCCTGAAGCATATACTTATGTCCCCAAACCTTCTATAATCTCCGAATCTGTGACTCTCTCCACAAGACTTCAGGGGAGTTACTGTAGAGAATAATAAAGCCATGTCAACAAGTGGTGCTGGGCCTTTAGCTAGTTTTCACTGTAGATAATTACAAACAGTAGGTTATAAAAGGGCAGAGAGGCACACACTCATGTCCACACAGTTACAAATGTACAGAAACACTCATACATACAGCAAAAATGAAACCAGACAGACTAAAAGGAAGGAGGAACCAAAGTCCCAGGCAGTCTGGGTCAATGGAAAGTGGCACCAGCACCATTAGATTCCTGTCTGACCTTTGGGAGATGTGACTGGGTTAGGGGCCGATAGGATCACGGTCATCCTTTCCACCATAGGGAGAATGGAGTGATGAGCCTTTCTGGGCTCCGGGGATAAAGTGGCAGCACCTGCTCACCCATGCCTCTTTCTTTGTTTTTTAGGAAAGCTCCATAAAGCCCTCAGTAAGTTCTGCTCCTCAACCATGGGACCAGCCTCCTTCTGCTGACATCTTTGCTTTAGGATGAGTGTCTCAGTTTCACTTCCTGGGGCAGATGAGAGGGGGCAAGTGTACTTTGAGCCATGGGGTTGGGGATTTCGTGGCTCTCAAAGTCCTCTTTTCTCAAACATTCTCTGCTCCTCTTTCCTGCACAACTGTTATCCAGTTTCTAAATGGGAAACGTTTTACCCACAAGAGATGCAGCTGCATAGATGAAGCCATCTGGAAGACTCAGCTCCCAGGCATTCATCCCCTTAGGTGGGATCCAAGGTGGATGGATCCTCATTAAACTTAAGATGTGGAGTAGCGCTTCTCCACCATTTTATGTATGAGAACGTCTCCATAACAAAAAAATACTCAGACATGTGACATATCTGTTTTATTTTACATTGAGAAAATATACCTAAGAAAATCTAACGGAAGTGCAGCGATAGTTTGAAATGAACTTATATTTCACTCTTCTCTCACAACATCTGCATACATTTGTGCTATCATTACCTATATGTGTGAGGTGCAGTATTCATTCAGTCTGCGGGTAAGTTTTGGCTCACACAGAAATTCGCTGACCCTCTGGGGCATCTCTGGGGACCCCTGGCTCACATCTGGGAGCCATGGCTGTTGCAAGCCCCGTCGTGGGCAAGTTTGGGGTGTTGCTAGCGAGGATTTGATGTGGGCGTGTGGTTGGGATGGGACTGTAGCATTAGGGGCATGTGGAAGCCCTCGTTCTGATTTGTCAAATTGTTTTTATTCTTTAGAGAAACTCCGGCAGGAATTGAGTAAGTTTCCCATGTTTTTACAACTTCCATACCAACTTATCTCCTGTTGATTCTGTATCTCCAGTGATAGCTCATCCTCCTTGTTTCTTCTTTTATAGAGGTGAAAAGAGCTGCAGCAAATTCAGGTGAGATGCACTTCCCCCATGCTTGGCACGGAAGCGGCCCCCCCCAGCCCCGCCCCCGCTCCGTTTCTCCATCACTTTAAAAATCCTCTTTTATGTCTTTCAGGCTGGAGAAGGGCCCGCCTGCACTTTGGTAAGCACACCATTCAAATCCATCCATATTTCAGAGCCCATTGTTCTGTTCCTTTGGAATGCAGACTATAATTTAAAAAAATTTTTAAATCAAATCTGTGTGTCTGCTTATCAAATTTTTAAAAAAACCTTTGTTGGTTTTTGAGGGGTCACATTTAGATTTAGAAAGTCTCCCCTCTTTTAGAGCACTGGCAAATATTTGGTTTCATCTTCTTATGGGTTTTCTATGATTTTTGAGATTTTTCTTAAGTCTCTGGGTTGTATGTATTTCTTCATTGTGACTTGTCTGCTCCTGTCCTATCCTGGCTACTTTTTATATAAAGTATATAAATTCTTGGTCATATTTGTCACACACTATTTTTCTGCATTTTTCATTTCCATTTTAATTTCTTTATAGTATTTTCTTGATGCGTGAGTGTTTTCTTTTTATGTCATCAAATTTATTAATCTTTTCCTGTATAGTCTCTTCCCGTGCTTTCAGGTTAGGGAAGTCCTTCCTATGCCACAATTGGGTAAATAGCCAGGGCTCCTGTCCCTTCTACACATCTTCTTTCTCTGAAGATCAATTTGCTTGGGGGTTGGTCATTGAGGTTCCGAGGAGGGGATGGGTTGGGCAGATGCCCCAGCAACATAGACTACAAAAGTTTTGATAGTTTTATTCGAAAAGGTTTGCGCATCTCTCTTTCAATTTATTCCTAAACAGTTTGCATTTTTTGCTGCTGTTTCTGTGAGAGCTGTTATTTTCACTGCTTTGGGGGCCTTGTTAATTTTCCAGGCTGCTGCTTCCATCCCCCTGCTGTTCACGCTGTCTTCCTTCAGGCAGGTACAATGGAATCCGTGATCGGCCACTTGAGAGAACACCAGGTCGCCTTGGGTGGCGTTCTCTCACAAACCCTTCTCACACTCACAGTCTGGCTTGCTCCCATCACCTCGGCAGATTCCGGATTTCATGGATTTAACTCTCCAAGAAGACCCTGATTTCTGTACTTGGGGAAGGAGGGAGACTCCCTGTGACCCTCATAATCCACAATTTTAAGGAAGAATCCTTCTCTCTATATTAACCTTTTAAAGATTTTATTTTTTTCCTTTTTCTCCCCAAAGCCCTCTGGTACATAGTTGTGTATTCTTCGTTGTGGGTTCTTCTAGTTGTGGCATGTGGGACGCTGCCTCAGTGTGGTCTGATGAGCAGTGCCATGTCCGCGCCCAGGATTCGAACTAACAAAACACTGGGCCGCCTGCAGCGGAGCGCGCGAACTTAACCACTCGGCCACGGGGCCAGCCCCTCTATATTAACCTTTTAAAATGACAATTATGAGCAACAATTTTAGCTGACAAAATGAGCATCGCGAACTCAGTGTGAGCGAGGCGCTCTCTCGTGCATTAGCTCATCAGATCTGCACAACAGCTCTACAGTGCAGGTGCTGCCATTATTCCCATTTTACAGTTGAAGAAACTAAGGTTTCAAGATGACTAACAAGCCTAAGGTCACATAACTAGCATGTGGTAGAGCTTGGACTCAAACATCCTACCTGGCTGCTGTGTCTAACATCAAAGCTTATGTTTATTATCATCCATTAGCTTCCTGTGGAACATCGAAGACAAAGGCACTATTTCCTAAGGAATAAGGCAGCTTCAGACAGATGAAAAGCTTTCCCTCTTTCACTCAATACCCTATCAGGAGATGTAGGAGACTGAAAGACAGTATTCTTTGGTTCCAGTACATATGGGGGAGGGGGAACCATGAACTAACATAGGCCAATGACCGTGGTTGCAGACCTAGAGATTAGTTTTTCCTCTAAAGCTACCCAAAGATGGCTTAAGACCTAGCGTTCCCAAACCTCACCTCTCTCTGACTCTCTGCAGTGGCGGTGACCCTGGACCCGGACACAGCACATCCCAAACTCATCCTGTCTGAGGACCGGAGATGTGTGAAGCTTGGAGACAGAAGACAGCCTGTGCCTGACAACCCCCAGAGATTTGATTTTGTCGTCAGCGTCCTGGGCTCTGAGTACTTCACGGCTGGCTGTCACTACTGGGAGGTGTACGTGGGAGACAAGACCAAATGGATCCTGGGGGTGTGTAGTGACTCAGTGAGCAGGAAGGGGAAGGTCACCGCCTCGCCTGCCAATGGACACTGGCTTGTGCGACAGAGTCAGGGGAATGAGTACGAAGCCCTCACTTCCCCGCAGACCTGCTTCCGCCTGAAAGAGCCCCCGAGGTGTGTGGGGATTTTCCTGGACTACGAGGCAGGAGTCATCTCCTTCTACAATGTGACTGACAAATCCCACATCTTTACTTTCACCCACACTTTCTCTGGCCCCCTTCGCCCTTTCTTTGAACCTTGCCTTCATGATGAAGGCAGGAACATGGCACCTCTAATCATCCTTTCAGAACTCCAGAAATCTGAGGAATCAATTGTGCCCAAGCCAGAAGAAAAAGGCCGTGCCAATGGAGACGTGGCCCTGAAGGTGGACCCTTCCTTACTGCCCCCTCAGACACCAGAGCTTTTGCCCCTCAAGGATATGATCCTGTCCTGGCCCTCTGACCTTAGCCCAGCCCTCCAGGGGCTCAATGTGCCTTCTTTTTAGGGACGTGCCCCATTACTCGCTCCCCTGACCGTCCAGCCCAGTGCCCTGGATTTCAGTCTCCTGGCCCAACACGTGATTCTGGAACATCTCATCTTCTTTCCCCAAATCCAGATCCTTTTGTGGTTTCAATTTGTACCAGCTTTCTCCCCGGGCTCGGTTCTAAACCCTTCCCTCTTTCTGGGCACTTGAAGTTGTCATTACCCTGGAAGGAGCATTCTTGAAAGCCGAATGAACGATCAGATTAGGTTTAGGTGGTGATGTTGAAGGTGTTTCCCCGAGATCCAGGGGTTCTCTACTTGAGGGGTATTTAGAAGAACTTCCTCCTGCCTCATCCTGCATTTGAGCTTTTGGTCATGACGTTATGGTGCCCAATCCCTGACTTCTTACTTTTCCCATCAAGAATTGCTTTTCTCCTTTTCTGTCTCTCAGTTCAGGCCTCTAGCCCTCAAAGCCAGTTTTTAAAAAGTAAACATGTTTTGGATGACACACTCTTCATTCTTCTGGAATATGAGACAGGGGCTCAGGACAGAGGGGTACAACATGCCATCCTTTTCCATTTCCTTGATGCTGTTTACACCCTAGTTTGGTGACATCCAGAGCTAATGTACGTGCTTTCAAATCTGATTTATCTATTGATGATACCCAGGTACAGGGACTGTAAACATGGTCGCTATAATCCTGAAATGCCTCGGGAGCACAATCATGGAGCTGGGAAGCAGTTTCAGAGCAGCCCAGCTGTGTGTGGCCTTGAAAAGACGGTGGCGGTGAGTCTTTTGCTGGCCCTTTTGAATCCCGTCCTGGGATTCAGAGAGGCCCAGCTAGAAAGAGTGGCAATTTTTTCCCACAAGAAATGATATTGAAAGACTTGACTGTTTGTGTAGCAAACAGCCTCTTAGGTCAAAGAGTATTGATTTCAAATAGGAAGTTAGTAGGCCAGGTGTGAAAATAAAATAACGAACCTGATTTTTGGTGTGGATTGCAGAAAGAAGCCACTTTCAAGTCACACACATATGTGATCTGGCCTCTTTGTGGAGGTGTTGGGTATCAGTCTGCAGATGGGTACACGGTTCTACCCAACAGAATATGTATGCAGAGAGAGAGAGAGAGAGGGAGGGAGAGAAAGAGAGGTATTTATTATAAGGAACTGGCTCTTGCAATTATGGAGGCTGGCAAGTCCCAAGATCTGTGGGGTCAGTCAGCAAGCTGGAGACCCAAGGCACCCAATGGTTTAGTTCCTGGCTGAGACCGAAGGCCCCAAACCTGGGAAAGCCTGCATTGTAGGTCCAGTTTGAAGGTTGACACACAGGCTCAAGACACAGGAAGAACCAATATTTCAGTTTGAGTCTGAAGGTAGGCAAAAAGTTGATGGCTCAGTCTGAAGGCTGTCAGGCAGGAAGAATTCTCTTTTTCTATGGGGAGGGTCAGCTTTTTGGTTCTGTTCAGGCCTTCAACTGATTGGATGAGGCCCACCCATGTTAGGGAGGGGAATCTGCTTTACTCAATCTACTGATTTAAATGTTAATCTCATGCAAAAACACCCTCACAGGAATCACCCAGAATGTTTGACCAGATATGTGGGCACCTTGTAACCCAGTCAAGCTGACATATAAAACTAACCATCATAGTGCCTGAGTGGAATTTTTTGTTTGCTTTTGTACTGTTCTTAAATAAAAGTTTGGTATTCTTTGTTTGGCGTGCTGTTATTTTTATCATGAATGAGAAGTTGTGGGGAAAGGTTTGGGGCTGGTAGGAGAAAAGCACACTATGGGATTGGTTTCCCAAACAGCCTCAAATTCACCCAAGCAAGCTGTAACCACAGTTAAAAATAAAGCCACAGTTTTATTTCTGAGTCTGCCTTCTCAGTATTTTATTTATATCCATTTATAAACTAATAATATATGTGGGTTATTTATATTTCACTCATCCATATTCAGTTTCAAACATACTTTCCTGAATAACTCAATCTTAAAACTAACTTTCATTGTTCACACTGGTTGCACCCAAGAGAACTTACCAGCAGGAAAGAGAACTGATATTTGTGGAGGGAGAAGCTTTAGGTGATTAAACTCATTTAATCCTTACAACAGTTCTGCCAGGGATTTCATAGGGGAGGGAAATCGTGCTCGTGGGTGGTAGAACTGGGACTATAAATCTGGTTTATCTAGCTCTGAAGACAATACTCTTTGCTCTTTGCGCTGAAATACCATGCATACACGAGAAGCCTGTAGAATTCTAGCCTATATAGTAGACATTTTTTTTTATTAATGTTATGATAGATTACAACCTTGTAAGATTTCAGTTGTACATTATTGTTAGTCATGTTGTGGGTACACCTCTTCCCCCTTTGTGCCCTCCCCTCGCCCCCCCTTTTCCCTGGCAACCACCGATCAGATCTCCTTGTCAATATGTTAACTTCCACCGATGAGTGGAGTCATATAGAGTTCGTCTTTCTCTGACTGGTTTATTTTGCTTAACATAATACCCTCGAGGTCCATCCACGTTGCTGCGAATGGGCCAATTTTGTCTTTTTTTTATGGCTGAGTAGTATTCCATTGTGTATATATACCATATCTTCTTTACCCAATCATCAGTTTCTGGGCATGTAGGTTGGTTCCACGTCTTGGCTATTGTAAATAATGCTGCGATGAATATAGGGGTGCAAGGGACTCTTGGGATTTCTGATTTCAGGTTCTTAGGATAGATACCCAGTAATGGGATGGCTGGGTCATAGGGTATTTCTATTTTTAACTTTTTGAGAAATCTCCATACTGTTTTCCATAGTAGCTGTACCAGTTTGCATTCCCACCAGCAGTGTATGAGGGTTCCTTTTTCTCCACAACCTCTCCAACATTTGTCGCTCTTGGTTTTGGATGTTTTTGCCAATCTAACGGGTGTAAGGTGATACCTTAGTGTAGTTTTGATTTGCATTTCCCTGATGATTAGCGATGATGAACATCTTTTCATGTGTCTATTGGCCATATTTATGTCTTCTTTTGAGGAATATCTGTTCATGTCCTCTGCCCATTTTTTGATCGGGTTGTTTGTTTTTTTGTTGTTAAGCCGTGTGAGTTCTTTGTATATTATGGAGATTAACCCTTTGTCGGATAAGTGGCTTGTAAATATTTTTTCCCAATTAGTGAGCTGTTTTTTTGTTTCAATCCTGTTTTCCCTTGCCTTGAAGAAGCTCTTTAGTCTGATGAAGTCCCATTTGTTTATTCTTTCTATTGTTTCCCTCAACTGAGGAGTTATAGTGTCCCAAAAGATTCTTTTGAAACTGATGTCAAAGAGTGTACTGCCTATATTCTCTTCTAGAAGACTTATTGTTTCAGGCCTAATCTTTAGGTCTTTGATCCATTTTGACTTTATTTGGGTGTGTGGTGAAAAAGAATGGTCAATTTTCAATCTTTTGCACGTGGCTGTCCAGTTTTCCCAGCACCATTTGTTGAAGAGACTTTCTTTTCTCCATTGTAGGCCCTCTGCTCGTTTGTCGAAGATTAGCTGTCCATAGATGTGTGGTTTTATCTCTGGGCTTTCAATTCTGTTCCATTGATCTGTGGACCTGTTTTTGTACCAGTACCATGCTGTTTTGATCACTGTAGCTTTGTAGTATGTTTTGAAATCGGGGATTGTGATTCCACCGGCTTTGTTTTTCTTGCTCAGGATTGCTTTAGCAATTTGTGGTCTTTTGTTGCCCCATATGAATTTTAGGATTCTTTGTTCAATTTCTGTGAAGAATGTTCTTGGGATTCTGATTGGGATAGCATTGAATCTGTAGATTGCTTTAGGTAGTATGGACATTTTAACTATGTTTATTCTTCCAATCCATGTGCATGGAATGTCTTTCCATCTCTTTATGTCGTCGTCAATTTCTTTCAAGAAAGTCTTGTAGTTTTCATTGTATAGATCCTTCACTTCCTTGGTTAAGTTTATCCCAAGGTATTTTATTCTTTTCGTTGCGATTGTGAATGGGATTGAGTTCTTGAGTTCTTCTTCTGTTAGTTCATTGTTAGTGTATAGAAATGCTACTGATTTATGTATGTTGATTTTATACCCTGCTACTTTGCTGTAGTTGTTGATTATTTCTAATAGTTTTTCTATGGATTCTTTGGGGTTTTCTATATATAAGATCATGTCGTCTGCAAACAGCGAGAGTTTTACTTCTTCATTACCTATTTGGATTCCTTTTATTTCTTTTTCCTGCCGAATTGCTCTGGCCAACACCTCCAGTACTATGTTGAATAGGAGTGGTGAAAGTGGGCACCCTTGTCTTGTTCCTGTCCTCAGAGGGATGGCTTTCAGTTTTTGTCAATTGAGTATGATGTTGGCTGTGGGTTTGTCATATATGGCCTTTATTATGTTGAGGTACTTTCCTTCTATACCCATTTTATTGAGGGTTTTTATCATAAATGGGTGTTGGATCTTGTCGAATGCTTTCTCTGCATCTATTGAGATGATCATGTGGTTTTTGTTTTTCATTTTGTTGATGTAGTGTATCACGTTGATTGACTTGTGGATGTTGAACCATCCCTGTGTATATAGTAGACATTTTTTTTAAGTAAAAGCTGGAAGAAAAAAAAAAAATCAGAATCCTGGGTATACCTTAGTGGTCTTGCGTCTGGATTGATGAACGACAGTCGGTTCAACTATGTAGGACCCGGAAAAGTCCCTGCACAGGGGCGTTGGGAGACCCAGAGGTGGTTCCTGGGACAGCGAACATTTAGCTTCTCTGACAAGCGGATTGGGTTAGTTATCTTCCAGTTCTACAATCCTTTAAGTTAGGGACCAAGAGTGAGGCGCAGGACTCTAGGCTTCACGGGATGTCTACAGGACCGACAAGGGTCACCAATTCAAAGTAAAGAAATACTCTGAGTTCATGACCCCTTGGAGGTCATGTAGGTTACCGCTACGTATTCTACAACTTCCCAGACCGGTGGTCCTGCATGCTGGGCTTTAACCTCGGAGCGCAGAAGAAAATCCGACCACTGTGGAAAGTACCCGGTGTCCGCGGCTCCGCTGTAAACTTCGCAAATTTCTTTGAGCCTAAGATCTTCCTTGGGACTACAACCCCCAGCAGGCCACGCCCGAGACCAAAGCTTATTGGCGGTTCCCCCTGGGTTTCTTGCGCTGTAGCAGCTAGTCTAGCCAATGGAAAGGAAGAGTCATCCTCAGGAACCAATCCTGGAGAGGTAGGGCGGATCCCTTTTGGGTTCCGGCTCCGGCTCCTCCCCCGGTCCACCGAGGCGGCGCTGTACCTGACCGAGCGGCGGGAGCCAGGTGGGTCCCGGTTGGGCCCGAGCTCGCGGGGGGAGGCGGACACGGTTCGTGGGGAGCTCTGAGCACGGCCCCTTCCCTCTCACCGGGGAGTTGTAGCTGTGGCTGTGCTCCCCGGACACTGTGGGGAGCAAATGGGGCCCTGTGGTCTCTCCGCCCCGACCCTCGTACCCCACCCCGGGCCTCCGCGGCCAGGCTGCTGGCCCCAGCCCTTCTCCTGCTGGCCTTTGAGTACCAGCCCCTCTGCCACTGACCATGCCTTTGGGGTCAGCCCCACCTCGTCTCCTACTCCGGCTCCAAGCCTGCCGGCAACTCTTAACCCAGCTCCTGTCTAAGAACGCCGGTACCCTCGGACTCCGCCATCGGCTTCTCCTCGCCCCGCTACAGGCAACCCAGCCTCTTGGACCTCGGTCGCCTGACCCCTCTGATTGTAGCCTTTGCCCTTGTCCCCTGACCATCTCCTCAGACCTTCTGACTCCTTTGGTGCTCTTCTATCTCTGACCCGTTATCCAGCTGCCTTGTACAATTCCCTCTCATTCAACACCTTGCCTCTGGGCTTTGCCCTTCCTCCTCCCCCTAGCCCTTGACTTGACCCGAGAGACTCGAACTTTGGCCCTTCAGATCACTTTCCAGCTTGGCCCCTTCCCTCTAACCCAGACCCTTGGCCTTCGGCATCTGTGATCACCAGCCCCATCTTCTTGGCTCTTGCTTCTTAGACCTGGCCCGTTCTCCCCTGCCTCGCTGCCTTCCACGCGTGCTCTTTTCTGTACCTCTGAGCCTCCTGGGAAGACAAGCCCCATGGGCTGCTTTCTCCCCCAAATGTCTGAAATGTGACAGGAAAGTGCATCTGTACGTTCCCTGCCACTCTCTTCTCAGTAGATAGGGGGCGCCCCATCTCTGCAAGTCCAGACGGTGCTCATCTATCCTGCAAGTCTAGCTCAAATACCAGCTTTTCCATGGAGCTGCTCATCCCGGGTCTCTTCAGGGAGATATGCTTGTGTCGTATGAACTCCTGTGGCACTGGTTTTATTTCCTTCCTCCCCTCCTTCCTTCCGTCTCTCCTCTCTCTCCCTCCCTCCCTCCCTCTTGTCTCCCTCCAATCCTAGTGTCCTGCTCAAAAGTACTGGCTTTGGAGTGATGGGCATAGGTTCCAGTTCTGCCACTCGCTTGCTGTGTGCCCTGGGGCAAGTTACACTTTCTCTGAGCCTTGGTTTCCTCATCTTTAAAGTAAGTTGTGAAAATGAAATGAGATGATTCATGTATAGTGCTTAGTCCAGGGCCTAGCACTTGGTATGAGCTTAAAAAATGCTAACTCTTATTATTATTGGTTCCTGTATAATGTGCCAGGTGCTATGCAAGGCACTGAGGAGTGGGTACAAAGGTGCTTAAGGCGCCGTCCTTGCGCTCCTGGAACTTAACCTTCTACACTGTATGGCAGTTTCTGGAGTCCACGGCCTGTTTCACTGCACGGTACCATAAACTGTTTGAGGCTAGTAACCCCAATCCTAAATCTTTTTGCTCTTATTTTGACCGAGCATTCAGCCCTGGGTAGAGTCAGAGCTCCGTAAAGTATAGGTTCTCAGAATAGCAGGATTGGAAGTGAGTGGAGGCTGTGTAGCTCATTGCACAGAGAGATACTGGAGCCCTCGGTGGGCTGGGCAGGGGTAGGGCATGAATTAAGACCATATCCATTCACTCACATTCAAAAGACGTTTGAGCAGTGGGCCTTGTGCTGGGGAGAGAGCACCAAAATGAACCAGGCCTTGCTCTCCAGTTGCTTATAAACTACTAGTGGAAACAGACATGTCCACAGATAATTGCAGATCACTGTAAAAGCAAGTCCAAGATTCTGGGGGGACGTAAAGGAGGAAGTGGGCAGGAATCAAGAGATTGCTGAGGAACAGTGGGTGGGAATAGACACAAGTAAGCATGAAATGGGTTCTGGAGACAGGCCTGGCCTCCATTCATTCAACTCATTCAACAAATATTTATTAAAGATCTTCCCTATATGACTGCCACTACTCCAGGAGTTTGGGTTACATTAGTGACTAAGGCCCTCATGGGACTTATGTTTTAGCAGGGGGAGACAGAAAATAAGAAGTAGACATAATGAATAAATAGAATGGTAGGAGGTGAGAAGTGCTGTGGGGCAGGGGGACTGGAAGTGTGGGAGGGGATTGCAATTTTTAAAAGGATGGTCAGAAAACAGTAAGTATCAAGGAATAAATTGTTTCTGATGTTTACTTGCATGTTTGAAAGTGAAGCAAGCCTACTATTTTTCACGTTGCTTATCTAGATTCTTAAGGAAACACTTTCTAACAGGGGTTGGTCAAGTAGAGCTTGCTTCCGTTTGTTTTAAATCAAGCTTTATTGGAATACGGCCACACTCATTCATATTGTCTGTGGCTGCTTTTACCATACAATGGCAGAGTCCAGCAGCTGCAACAGAGATCCTATGGCCCCAAATATTTACTACATATTTACTATCTGGCCCATTACAGAAAAAGTTTGCCAACCCCCGCCCCTTAAAGATTTGAGGCTCTGTCTATATTTCACATTTTCGATTATATACAGTCTTATACCATTTTTTAATCAAAATTGTTTTTTCTTTCCTAACAAGATCACATAAGGGATCTTTTTCATCCTTATATGCTCCACAGGGCTAGGACATAGTGTCTTCAGCAACTGTAATAGCAGCTGTCATTTGCTGAATGACTAGTATGTGCCATACGTTACACTGGGCATATTACAGGCATTTTCTCGAACACAAAGTCCTGCCATGTGGGTAGGTATCACAATCTAGTGATGTGGGAGTTGAGGCTCAGAGTGGTTGAATAATTTGCAGAGTTATAAAGATAGTACATGTCCCACTAGGCTCCAACCCTAAATGTCATTGGTGCCCCTTCCATTACTTTATGTTGCTGTTTTCCAAAAATACTTGTTGACTTGAAGGAATTATCAGTCTTTCATTTCCTGTCATCGATGAGTCTGTGCTTCCCTCTTGCATCCCTTTGTTCATGTCACTCTATACAGTATCTCCACCAGCCCACCCTGCCTTTTGAAATGTCGTCATTTCTTCAAGGCCCAGAGGAAACACCACACTCTTCTCTTATCGGAAGTACTTCTTCCCCTCATTCCCTGTTCTTGGCTGAAGGAGCTCAAAGGAGTCTGTGCAGCTTAGCAAGCATTTACTGATGTTTGCATAAGTAGGTCCTGTGCTGGGCACTGTCTGTGTGTGTGTAGCTGTGTGTATGGGGAAGTGTGTGGTTTGTGTATCTGCATCTGTGTGTGTCTTGGTGTGTATGTTGCATGTGAGTGTGTGGCTGTGTGTGAGATTATATGTGGTGTGACAGTATGGCTGTATGTGTGTTATGGTGTGTGATTGTGTAGCCATGTATGTGGCTGTATGTGTGGGAGGACTGTGTATGTGTGTAGCTGTGTGTGGCTAATGTGTGGTGTGAGAGGGTAGATGTGGTGTGAGTATATGTATGTGTCTGTGTGTGGCTGTATATATGTGACTGTGTGGTATGTGTGTGTGGTGTGAGAATGTAGCTGAGTGTGTTTGGTGTGTGATTATGGCTGTGTATGTGGTGTGAGTATGTATGCCTTTGTGTGTGTGCACGTGCAGCTGTGTATGGTGTGTGAGAGTGGACGTATGTACTGAGCAATCAGAACAGACACAGCCCAGGCCCTGCAGGAGGTCTTGGAGGTCCCAGAGGTTAACTCTTTAGTTGCTGGATTATAGTGAGTTCAGGGGATGGGAAGGGTGGCAGAACACTGAAGAGGATTCAAAGCCGGGCCTTGTAAACAAGTAGGAGAGCCTCAAGAATTAGAAGTTCTGTTGTGTTCATTTTGAAAGAGGGCAAATAGATGGTTACTTTTAAGGAAGGTTTTTCAAAAAAGATCAAACATAAAAGGAGTTTCAGTTAACTTACAGTTAGGCAGAAAAACTGAACTCATCCCCAAATAGAAGCTCCTTTACTTGCCTATGAATTAGAGTCTAGTCTGTCATTGTTTAGTGGTATTAAGAAAAGTGACATTAATCAAATTGCACAAATATCCTCTGTTGGAGGTGCCATCTTTTTGCTCTGGTGGGTAGTTTTAAATATCTGTGGAAGTTTGTCACCTGAAAGTTAATAAGTAAAGGCATTCTATCCAAGGATTCCAGTTAACTGATGGATCATTTCATGGGGAAGGTTTACACCCCTTCAACCAGAACAAAAGATTTCCCTGTGATCTGGCCTGACCTAAAGAATAAAGGCGTTGGCCATTTGTGTTCATTCTCAGGGTTCAGAGATGGGCAGTGAGAAGGAGCAGACTCCAGAGCAGCACCTGCCCGAGGAAGGGGAGCGGGGGAAGCCTTGGAGAGTGGATGACTCCGAGGGCCTTCGGATCCCAGATGGGGAGAAAGAGCACGGGCAGGAGAGCCTGTCAGAGGGGCCACAGGGGATCCAACCAAAAAAGCAGAAAGTCACTGTCCCCGCTGGAGAGCCGGGGGACCCCATTGCACATCCAAGGCCCGAGGCTGACGAGAAGCCCTTTATATGTGCCCAGTGTGGGAAAACCTTCAATAATACCTCCAACCTGAGAACACACCAGCGGATCCACACCGGCGAGAAACCTTACAAGTGTTCTGAATGTGGCAAGAGCTTCTCGAGAAGCTCCAACCGCATCCGCCATGAGCGGATCCACCTGGAAGAGAAACACTACAAGTGTCCCAAGTGTCAGGAGAGCTTCCGGCGGCACTCGGATCTCACCACGCACCAGCAAGATCACCTGGGCAAGCGGCCATACCGCTGTGACATCTGTGACAAGAGCTTCAGCCAGAGCGCCACGCTGGCTGTGCATCACCGGACCCACCTCGAGCCAGCGCCTTACATCTGCTGTGAGTGCGGGAAGAGCTTCAGCAACAGCTCCAGCTTTGGCGTGCACCATCGCACCCACACAGGCGAGAGGCCTTATGAGTGTGCTGAATGTGGGCGGACCTTCAGCGATATCTCCAACTTTGGAGCACACCAGAGGACCCACAGAGGGGAGAAGCCCTACCGGTGCACTCTGTGTGGGAAACATTTCTCCCGGAGCTCAAATCTCATCCGCCACCAGAAAACGCACACGGGAGAGCAGGCGGGGAAAGATTCCAGCTGAAGGAGAGACCCAGGGAGAGAGTGAGGGAGACAGAATGGGAGACCCCAACCTAGTGTATGAGGATCTTTAGGATCTGCTGCTGCCCCTTTGATCTCAAGCCCTTCATCCCACTTTGGAGAATGGTTTCCTGTTGCCTCCGAAACCAGTATCTTCAGGAAGTCCTGAGAAGGGACTCTGAGTAAAAATCCTTGCCTCTTTCCAGGCCAAAATCTTGCATTGGAAAGTCAGAGGACCGAGTCTTGTCTTCATCTCCTGGGGATGACGGAGAAATAGGGTAGGCTTAGTACATGCTTATGTCATTAGGACAACTGTCCCCTGGCGTTTGAGGAAGCATCTGTGAGATGGGCATCACTGTCTGAAGGCACTCCAAATTGTATATGAACTGCTTAGGGCACACTTTAGTGGCCTGCTAGTTCCCACTGCTCTGCCCTACCTGGGCTGGGAGGAGCAGCCTTCCCAAGGGAGGGGACCTCTTTGGCCTGGAGAAGAGGTCTGAGGTCCTGCCTTAGGAGTGAAAGAGAAGCCCTCAGGGAGCCATGATCCAGGGACCTTCACACTCCCCCATGTTTGTGACTTGTTACCCCCACCCTAACCTGCATCTGTTCCCCAAGTGATTAGCAGTAAAACCTTTCAAGGAAAAGTACCTGTGCACTTATTTGGGGCCACCAAAGCACTGGGGAGCTGGAGAGATGGTCACACTGTGGCCACTCTGGAAGGGAGTTGAATTCCAAGAAAGAAAGAAGGGGTGGCTGCTCTGAAAAGCAAGGAAAGCAGGCTGAGTCTGGGGCCTTTGAGGAGGAAGGGGAAAGGAAAGGAAATAACATTAATTGAGCATCCACTATAAGCCATAGATTGTGCAGGTCACATTTACATTCTTTATCTCACTTTGTTGGCACAGCAACCCTCAAGGGAATAAGATGACGCAATTGAGGAAGGGTGAAGTCACTTACCATGAAGTCACACAGCAGGTATGTGGTGGAGCTAGAGTTCAAACTTGGGCATCCCTTGATTCTGAGCTGATGTACTCTTCACTACATTCTCCTTGTTGGCTTCTGAAGGAGGAGCTGCTTAGAGGGCTGGCCTGGGACCAAGTGATTCCCTGGAAGTGAGAGCTGGTATGACTTCTTGATATCCTGGACCGTGGGCTCTGTGGGAAGTCAGTGTCAAGCATGAGGGCCTTTTCAACTTTAGATTATTGACTGACACTTATTCTGTGCCCAGGAAAAATGGTGGTGTAAGGGAGCAGAGGGTGAGGGGTGGGACGAGATGAACCTATAATAAGAGCCTTTGCCCTTAGTAGCAATACCTTAGTTCCTAAGGCTGCGACCACTTGGCAGGGATCATGGCTGGCTTCCTTCCCTTCTGGGGGAATCCTGACTCCACATGGCAGATTTCAGTGTTTCCTACATGGAAGTTTAGTGTTCAACCAGATTTCCTCCAACAAATACAAAAAGACCTCACTCTACCTCTCTTGCCAATCTGGGGTCCTGTTCTTCCAGAGTGAGGGGCCCTCTTCATTTGTAGCCAATTGGCAGAATGTGATTCTGGCACTAGGCTTGGAACTGGCACCATCCATGACCCTATCGCATGGGACGTGCCATCCACCCATGGAGGGACATGCCAGGAGCTTTACACTTGTCATCTTATTGAATCCTCACAACAACCCTGTGAAGTAAGAATTATGCACATTTGACAGGTGCAGAAACAGGCTGACATAAAGTAACTTGCCTAGGATTACATAGCAAGTAAGTGGCAGGGTCAGGAACCGAACCTACTTCTGCCCAAATCCAAAGCCTGTGTTTTTTCCAACTGTAAAAGAAGACTTCCCACATGATTCCCTGACATTTGTAGGATGCTTTGCAGTTTACAAAGCACTTTTATTTCGTATACATTGTCCTTCTTGAAAATCTCCATACAAAATATTTTAAACATATAGTCACCCAAACTTGCATGTATAAATGGGCACACTCCCTAATAAAAAAAAAGTCGCCATTAAACACCTACTGAGTGCCAGTTATTGTACACCTATTATCTCTGATCTCCATAACTATCCTGTAAGGTCGTAGTATCCCCATTTTCAAGATAAGAAAGTTCTGAGAGGTTAAACGACCTGAACTGGGGCTGAGCTTGGATTCAAATCAGGTATGTCTGATTCCAAGGCCAAGCTCTTCATTATACCCATTACAAGCTAGGTCTACTAGTCTCTCAGTCTGGGGAGCTTGGTATCATTATCCTTCCAGACCTAGAGCCTTACTGACAACTGCTGTGACTTTTTGGGAGTCTCTGCTGCCAGTAAGACCCAGGAGCAGTGTACCAGGCACCTGCTTTGATCTTGGGGTGTAACTTGCTGGACAATCTCATTTGCCCTTTTTTGACCAAGTTCATAGGCTAGGGTTTGTCTGTTGGTCCAGACTAGTGTTTGAGTCCTGACTAGTCCATTTATTCACTCTCTGACTTCCTTTTTTGTTAACTTCTTTTATTTTCTCCTTCATTTTCTTCTCCCCTTCCCCTTCTCCCCCGCTTCCCTCCCCTTCCTTTTTCCATCTCTTCCTCCTAGTTACTATGACAATGAAGAAGACATGGCTCGTGTGTTCTCTGAGTACAGGAGATTGGCACATAAACCCAGAGTTCCAATGCAGGATAGTAGGTGTCATTACAGTTGTACTGTACTGTTGTACAGTTGTACCAAGGTGCTGTAGGAGCCCAGAGGAGGGCCTTAACCTGGCCTGTACTGGGCGCTGGGGCCCAGAAAGTAAATAAGACATAGTTCTTCCTGTAAGGAACTCAAAGGAAGAGAAGCTCCCCTTTGAACTAGGTGTTGGGGGAACACAGGTGGGAGTGGCTAACTTCAGAGGGGAGGAAGAGGCTAGACAATGATTGAATTTGGTCTTGAAGAATGAGTAGGTGTTTACCAGGTAAAAAAAAAGGAAGGTTATTTAAGATGGGAGGGAAGGCTTAATGTTTTAGGGAATGATTAAACATTTGATGTAGTTAGAGTTTTCCTGTGTGAGGAGGAGATGAAGCTGGTAAGGTAGACAGGGGCCAGATTGTGAAGGGTGTTGAATGCCAGGATAAAGAATTTTGGACTCTGGATGTTAGAAAATTTTAAAGCAAAGGAATGGCATGATCACATTCACCCTTTAGGAAGAACACTCAGGCTAGTGTGGAGGATGAACTAAAGGGGGTCAGGTAAATTGGGAACATGCTGTATAAATAAGCCAGGTGCCATATAATGTAGAGGTCTGTTGGGGCCCTCCTGCCCCACAGAGAGCTCTGTATGATTGCCTCAGAGCCTTGCCAGTTCCACAGAATGGGAAAGTCCAAACCCTCCACACAATTTCTGCAGATTCCTGGGATTTATGCTTTTAGGGTCTTCTTTTGCCTGAGTTTCCTGTGGTCTCTTCAAGCCTTCTCTGTTTTGTCCCCATTAGTCCTGTCACAGAACTAAGAACCTTCACTGGCTTCCCTGAGAAATTCTGTCACACCAAGCATTTTTGTAAGTTTAGACTCCCCTCAAGAGATTGGGAGTCTTGGGTAGGGGTCACATCATGCCATGGCTTCCTCTCTTCGTTTCTCCCATCTCTGCCCTTTCCCCCTCTCTTCCAGATTATCCTGGAAACTCCAGGTTGTTTTAACTATTGTAAAAAGCAGTTTAAGATGTCATCATCATGGTGGCACAGAGGATCCCTTTGTCTCTCCCCTTCAACCAAAGTGAGTAAAACATCCATAACCCAACAAAGGCTATGTTTCTCAACATACCAAGACACTGGAGAGATCCACACGTTGGTACATATGAAGGTAGGTGAAGAGGAGCACATAGAGGAGGTTAAATGGGGAAACAGCAGAGGCAGAGCCCAGGGCCTTGGACCCCTGGCTGTGGCAGCTGAGCCAGCAGCCTCCAGCCCCAGAGAATGCAGTGGGGCAGCAGTAGAGGTGTGTGTGTGACTGCAGCCAGCCAGCTGTGGTGGCACCTGTGGCATGGGGAGCAGAGCAGTAGTGGAGATGGAGCCCCATGATCCTGGGCCCCCATCTGTGTCTCAGAGCCTGATAGCAGCAGTGGAGGCATGCACAGGACTCCAATATCCCAACCACAGTGGTGCCTGTGTCCACAAGGTAAAAGGCAACAGCAGAGATGATTCCCTGTGAAACCAGCTCTCTCCTCCCTCCTGCCCCACACCCCCACCATGGCAGCATAGTTTCCAACCAGGTGATCTTGGATGCAATGGAGGCATCAGCCATCCTTGTACTCCCCAGTGGGGAAACCAGTGACTGCAGTGACACCAGCAACAGCAAGTCATCAGTAACCCTCAGAGGTGCAGGCCGCAATGATGAGAGTACCAGCAATACCCCGAATAGAGGCAGTGGAGAGTGGAACATGCAGATCCTCAGATATAGCCAGAGGAAACGCAGATAAAAGAAACCAAAACTAGTGCTATAGTGCCACCTACTGAAAAACAAAAGAGAGGTCTCTAATCTCCAACCAATTGAAAAATTTGAATCTAAACAAACAAAGCTATACCTAAATAGGAAAAGTGTCTGCTACAGCAAATGAACCAGCAGAGGAATAACTCAGCGAGAACCATGAAAAACATGGTGACATGATATCACAAAAAGAAAATGACACTTTATAGAAACCAAATATAAAGTCATGGAAGATTGTGATCTAACTGATAAAGAATTCAAAATACCTATCATGAAGAAACTCAGCTACAAAAAAACTCAGAAAGGCAGTTCACTGAGCTCAAGTATAAAATTAATAGAAGGACTACTTTACCAAAGAGATTGACAGTCTAAAAAAGAACCAAACAGAAATTCTGAAGCCGAAGAACTCAATAAATGAGATGAAGAATGTAACAGAAAGTGTTGGAAATAGAGTAGACCATATGGAACACTCTATTCAGAAACACTATCCTTCAGATATGATGGAGAAACAAAAGCTTTTCCAGAAAAACAAAAGCTGAGGGAGTTCATTGCCACTAGACCTGCCTTACAAGAAATGATGAAGGGAGCCCTCATACCTGAAACAAAAAGGCAAAGATTCACAAAGCCTTAAGCAAGGAAATGAATAGACAGACAAAAATCAGAAAATTGCAGCTCCCTATCAGAATAGGTTAGCAAACAATTATAACATAAAAGATAAAGGGGAAGAAAACATCAAAAATAACTATAAACACTTGAATTTAATCACAAACTGACAAGACAAAAAAGAATAATTTGTGACAACAATAACGCAGAAGGGGAAGAAGAAAGGGATGGAACCTGCTTAGGCTAGTGGAGATAAGAGGCTATCGGAAAAAGGACTGTCTCATCTATCAGATCTTTTATACAAACCTCATGGTAACCACTAATCAAAAAATCAGAGCAGAGTCACAAATCATAAATGAAGAGAAAGCTGAGAAACCCATCACAGAAAACCACCAAACTGAAATGGCAGTCAGAAATACAAAGGGCAAGAAACAATGGAAATACAGGAAACTGGAAAACAAGAGATAAAATAGTAGCATTAAGCCCTTATATATGAAGAATCACTGTAAATGTAAATGGATTGAATTCTCCAATCAAAAGACACAGAGTGGCTAGACGGATTAAAAAAAACAAGACCCAACAAGAAGCTGCCTCCAGGAAACGCATCTCAGCTCTAAAGACAAACACAGGCTCAGAGTGAAGGGATGGAAGATGATACTCCAAGCAAATGACAAGCAAAAGAAAGCAGGTGTAGCCATATTTATATCAGACAAAGCAGACTTCAAGATAAAAAAGAGTGGTAGACAAAGAGGGGCATTATATAACGATAAAAGGACATTCCACCAAGAGGACATAACAATTATTAATATATATGCACCTACCAGAGAAACACCAAAGTATATAAAACAACTATTAACAGACCTAAAGGGAGAAAATAACAGCAACACAATAATAGTAGGGGACCTCACACCCCACTTACATAAATGGATAGATCATCAAGGCAGAAAGTCAACAAGGAGGCAGTGGCCTTAAATAAAAAACTAGACCAGATGGACTTAATAGATATATATAGAACATTCCATCCCAAAACAGAAGAATACACATTCTTCTCAAGTGCACACGGAACATTCTCAAAGATAGACCATATGTTGGGAAACAAATCAAGTGTCAATAAATTTAAGATGACCGAAATCACATCAAGTATCTTTTCTGACTACAATGCTATGAAATTAGAAATCAACAAGGAAAAGGCTGGGAAAGTCACAAATATTTGAAGAGTAAACAACATGCCACTGAACTACCATTGGATCAAAGAAAAAATAAAAAAATACCTGGAAACAAGTGAAAATGAAAACACAGCATAGTAACTCTTATAGGATGCATCAAAAGTGGTTCTAAGAAGGAAATTTGTAGCAATACAGGTCTACCTCAACAAACAAGAAAAATCTCGTGAGTAATTTTTTTTTTTTAAAGTCAAGGTAGAGAGAACTTTATACTTATTATTATTTTTTTAATGAATTCTTTTTGGGTGAGGAAGATTGACCCCGAGCTAACATCTGTTGCCAATCTTCCTCTTTTTTTTCCTCCACAAAGCCTCAGTACATAGTTGTATATCTTTGTTGCAAGTCAATCTAGTTCCTTCAGGTGGGAAGCCACCACAACATGTCTTGATGAGCATGCTTCTCATGTAGTTCTGTGTCCAGGATCCAAACCAGTGAACCTTGGGCCACTGAAGCAGAGCACAGGAACTTAACCACTTGTTCATGGGCCCAGCCCCTCAAATAAGTAATCTTAAAATACACCTTAAAAAAAACTAGAAAAAGAAGAACAAACAAAGCCCAAAGTCAGCAGAAGGAGGGAATAATAAAAATTAGAGCAGAAATAATGAATAGAGACTAAAAAAATAATAACAAGGATGAATGAAACTAAGAGCTGGTTCTTTAAGAAGACAAACCCTTAGTCATATTCACTAAGAAAAAAAGAGAGAAGGCTCAAATGAATAAAATTAGAAATGAAAGGAAAAACTACAATGGATACCACAGAAACGCAAAAGATTATAAGAGAACACTATGAAAAACTATATGCTAACAAATTGGATAACCTAGAAGAAATGGATAAATTCTTAGAATGATACAACCTCGTAAAACCTAATAAAGAAGAAATAAAGAATCTGAATAGATCAATCACAAGTAAAGAGATTGAAACAGTAATCAAAAACTTCCCAAAAAACAGAAGTTCAGGACCAGATGGCTTCTCTGGATAATTCTACCAAACATTCAAAGACTTAATTTCTATCCTTCTCAAACTATTCCAAAAAATTGAAGACGACGAGATGCTTCCTAACTCATTCTACAAGGCCAATATTACCCTGACACCAAATCCAGACAAGGACAACATGAAAAAGGAAAATTACAGGCCAATATCACTGATGAAAGTAGATGCAAAAATCCTCAACAAAATATTGAATTCTGTTCAATACAGGAAATTGAATACAGCAATACATTAAAAGGATCATACCATGATCAAGTGAGATTTATTCCAGGGATGCAAGGATGATTCAACATCCACAAATCGATTGATGAGATGCACTACATTAACTAAGTGAAAAATAAAAACCACATGATCATCTCAATACATGCAGAGAAAGCATTTGACAGGATTCTGCATCCATTTATGGCAAAAACTCTCAATAAAAAAGGTATAGAAGGAAAGTACTTCAACATAGTAAAGGCCATATATAAGAAACCCACTGCTAACATCATACTCAATGGTGAAAAACTGAAAGCTATCCCTCTAAGAACAGGAACAAGACAAGGATGCCCACTCTCACCACTCTTATTCAGAATAGTATTGTAAGTCCTAGCTAGAGCAATTAGGCAAGAAAGAGAAATAAAATGTATCCAAGTTGGAAAGGAAGAAGTAAAACAGATGATATAATTTTATATATAGAAACCCCAAAGAATGTACCAAAAACACTATTAGAAATAATAAATGAGTGTACTAAAGTTGCAAGATACAAAATCAACATACAAAAATCAGGAGCATTTCTATACACTAACAACAAACTAGCAGAAGGAGAAATCAAGAATACAATCCCATTTGCAATTGCAACAAAAGAATAAAATACATAGGAATAAATTTAACCAAGGTGAAAGACCTGTATATGGAACACTATAAGATATTGTTGAAAGAAATCGAAGAAGACCTAAAGAAATGTAAAAATATTCCATGGTTATGGATTGGAAGGATAAACATAGTTAAAATGTCCATATTACCTAAAGCAATCTACAGATTCAATGCAACCCCTATCAAAATCCTGATGACATTTTTCAAAGAAATAGAACTAAGAATCCTAAAATTTATATGGAACAACAAAAGACTCTGAATAGCCAAAACAATCCTGAGAAAAAAGAAGAAAGCTGAATGTATCACACTCCCTGATTTCAAAGTATACTACAAAGTTATAGTAATCAAAACAGTGTGGTACTGACAGAAAAACAGACATACACATCAATGGAACAGAATTGAGAGCCCAGAAATAAACCCACACATTTATGGACAGCTAGTTTACAACAAAGAATGGAGAATGGAGATACAATGCACATACAATGGAGAAAGGAAAGTCTCTTCAATAAATAGTGTTGGGAAAACTGGACAACCACATGGAAAATAATGAAAGTAGACCACTATCTTACACCATTCACAAAAATTAACTCAAAAGGGATTAAAGACTTGAATATAAGACCTGAAGCCAGAAAACTAGAAGAAAACATAGGCAGTATGCTCTTTGACATTCGTCTTAGAAATGTCTTTTTGGATATGACTCCTCAGGC